GTTGAATAGTTTGGATTCAGAGTATGCTTTATTGATAATAATATGTTTACATTCTCACCAAAGGGTAAAGAATAGATGTCTGTTTATGAGATGAATAATGAATTTACCAAAACTAAAGATATTACAATAAAATGTGGATCAGATAGTATTTGTCTATTTCCTTCATAATGTATAAATGCAAAATGTATGCTTATGAGTAAAAATGGTGAATATGTCAACATCATTAGGAAAAAATAAAATGGAGACTTATTAATTCAATAATCTATGCATTTTGGAACTAAACTTATATCTGGAACAATGAGTGATAATGGACAGTATTTAGTTACTTGGGATAACAAATAAAAATAAATACAAATTAGAGGATATTAAGAACAATGATATAAGTAAAATTCATATCAAAAATATTTTTTATAATATAAATGCCTCATTTATTATAATTACAAAATAATGGTTTATAAACAATTTTTGAACTTATCAAAAAAATAATATAAGTATGAGAATACTCATTTCAATTATTGTGATTTTAAAAAGCCATTCTTTTTCAAAGAATTTAAATAGGTAAATTACTTTTTCCCTTCCTGATAAATAAGATCCCAGTATTTATTATAATCATCCTTTAGCTAAGGCCTAATTAGAGGGTATTCTCTAAGTATTAGCCTCAATATTATTTATACTTTTTTTATGTCTGCCTTTTCAAATTTATGGTAATTTAACTCTTCTTGTCTTTTGTAATAAATAACTTTTTTTGGTTATCATTTCTATGTAATTTTTTAATTCTTAATTAATTATTGAAATTTAGATATTTATATTTATCAAAAATTATTTGCTATTTAAGTAATAATTTAATAGAAATAGGAAATGTAGATTAGATGTACTTAAGTTGATCATCGAAATCAATAAATAATTGGATTTTGCATAGATAGCACATGCCCAAATTAGAGGCCTTATTGTCATTTTTGCTTGCCTCAACATGGTCAACATCTTGACAAATTAACATATTTTGAACTTTTTAATGAATGGATTTAGAAACGAATTATTAATGCTCAAAATTTATAAAAGAATGTTTAAGAGTGTAAATTATCTCTTGATCCTCTTCTAAATTATTTGATTCCTTATTTGAACTTTAATATACAATAATGCTAGGAAATAGGAATTTCATAGGTAGATTACATGATAAGGGGCTTATGCTAATTGGAAGGTTGTGAGGAAATATTATTTAAACAACTTAAATAATCTATCGAATAAATCAATTAGATTATAGATTAGATATTAAAAAACTTAAAGAATTAAACAAATTAAAAGGAAAAGTATAATTAGTAATTTCAAAGTTTTGACTTAAAACAATCAATATTAGAATAGCCATAAAACCAAAGTATCTTTAAAGCAAATTCTAAACAATTCACCTTTGAGCTCATGAATTAAAATTCAATAAAGGTTGATAATTTTTGTTATGCTTTTGCATTTAATAAAGATTAATCTATTGTTTTAGCTGGATGTAGAAATGATATTAAAGTATTTGAAAATCGTTAAGGAAAATTGAATCAAGTTTAATTGTTGAATAAACATACAGATGATGTGAATGTTTTAAATTTTATGAAAAAGACAAATAATTTTGTATCTGGTAGTTCAGACAAATCAATTATAATATGGTAGGTGATTGCAAATAATTAATGGAATTGTTAATAAATATTAAATGGACATTCAAATTGGATATTTTGTTTATTGTTAAATAATACTGATGATTTAATAATATCAGGTAGTGGAGATAATACAATAAAATTTTGGATGAAAGAGAATTAATGGATATGTTAATAAACCATAACTGATCATATTCATTCGGTATATTCATTAAGTTTAAATGAATAATAAAATAAATTGATATCTTGTTCAAGGGATTCATAAATATTAATAATAGAATAGTCTAATTTGGATAAATAATGGAGTGTTACATAAAAGATAAACGTTGATTAATATGGATTACGATTATGTTTTATTAATGATAACTTATTTACATTCTAACCAAGATGTAAAGATTAAATGAATATATATGAGATAGATACTGATAAGAAATAATATTACAAAATTAAAGAAATTGCAGTAAAGAGTGATTCAATTGGTTGTCATTTTTTATTTCCATAATAATACATAAAGTCAAAATGCCTACTTGTGAATAAGAATGGCAAGAATGTAAATTTAATGAGAATAAAAAAAAATGGTGACTTTATTATTTCATAATCTATTTAATTTGATAGTAATGAAATTTATGGACAATTAAGTGATGATGGAGAGTATTTGATCACTTGGGATTTAGGATCAAAGGAAATCTAAATAAGAAAGTGTAAGGAATAATGAATATTATAATATAAAAATTATGAAATATGTTAGTATATTTAAATAATATGTAATATTCTTTATAAATTACAAAAGAGTTGTATTTTCTTAAATTTAATAAATTATTGGTTTTTTTAATTGTTTACGAGATATATAGAATGAAATTTCTCTAGATAAATAAAAAAAATAACTGTGATTCTGAATTGCATAATTTTGGATTATGATTCTTATACATTGATTGAAATTTAAGAACTGAAATTATTGTTATCATTATCAATTGAGTTACATCTATGAAGAAGTGAACAATTTTAGGGAATTATACTTTAGTTTAAATGTTAAAATAGAATGATTAATTTACATACTTTAAGTGGATGGCTATAAATTTATCCAAAAATTAACAATTTTTATAGATGTAAAAATATTGCATTATAAATTTAAATAATATGATACAGAAATAAAATAAATTAATACCATTTAAAATAAAAATATCATAGTGTTTGAAAGTAGAATATATGAGAAACTGATAAAAATTATTAAAATTTACAAAAAGGTACAAAACTAAATATTATTTCATTTCTTTTAGAGATGAGGAATTCAAAATTACATTTTATGGTGATGCTATTTATTTAATATCAGTTTTATTATTTATGGAGTTATTTGGGCAATGGATAAGATGATCAAACATCTTAATAAATTTTTGAAGGCAGTTAAGTTATATTTAAGAAATATATGAGGATGTTCAGGTTAAATTCAAAATTTTTCGATCAAGAAAATACTCAACCAATAATATGGTTTAAACACTAAATTATTTTGAAATTAAAATGAGTAAACAAGTTCTTAATCGAAAATTTTACCAAGAAACTACGAAAGTAATAAAAGATCATACTTATGCTATTAAATAAAAAAGATCAACAAAATTAAATGGATAGTTAAATATTTAATTTATCATCTACATCTGCTAAAATTAAAAGCTATTTGAATTGGCCCCTCTATCTTCTGATAACCAAAATATAAGAATTTCTTACAGAATAGTGAACACTGATAGACAATTTAAAAGAATCAGATTAAAGGAACATTTGGAGATAAATAGAAATACAATAGAAAATGTTATTTCGATAGATGTAATTT